GGAGGTTTGCACTCTCCGAGTGCTTCTAGTTATTGTTGTCATATACTCACTAAGTATAAGATGTTTTTATTTTATTTTTTTACTGTTATTTAACCAGACAAGTCCCATTGAGATCTCAGATCTCTTTTTCAAGGGAGGCCTGGGCCTGAAGGTAACCTATTGTACATGTTTTTAGTGGTGGGGGAAACCGGAGTACCCGGACTTTATCTAGGACTTTATTTATTTATGCAGGGCAGTGAACAGAAGTAGGGGTACAGCAACTATTCTTCCATCAATGTTGAATTTTAGATCTATTGCTTTTGGTAATTATAATTATTATGAATACCACTGATTTGCTTTAACAGTTTAAAGATCCTAAACAATGTACCTTTTTATATCAGATTTTTTTTAGGTTGATTTTCGGCTGTTTTACACAGAATATAATAATATTACTGCTTTAAGTGATTTTAATCTTCATGTTGACCATCAGTCTGATTGTATTGATTGTTTAAAGGCAGCATGGAAGAACAGTGGTTAGAGGTGTCACAGCTGTCATCGCAACAAAAAGATTATTCTGTAGTGGTTCATTAAAATAATATGGGTGCAAAGAGGGCGAGGAAGATGGAGAGAGAAAGAGGAAATCAGAGTGAGAACAAAAAGAGGAACGTGTCCTAGAGAAAGCAGGTGTAAAAATTATCAAATTGGGGAGCAAACAATTGTTTCGCTGAACTTTCTCTTCAGATCGTATTTGCACCCATTTCATGAATGATTTGTTACCTCCGACAAGGAGGTAATGTTTTTTGTTGCGTACGTCCGTCTGTCGTTCTGTCTGTGGACAACATTACTCAAAAACTTGTGGACGGATTGCCATGACATTTTTACCACATGTGGGTACTGGCCCAAGTAACACACCGTTACATTTTGGTGATGTTCCGGATCACGATGTGGATACAGGAATTTTTTTTTCTTTTAATCCTCTGAGATCGGCGAAGCTGTGATGCTTTCACAGGGCTTCTGTAAAAAACAGTGAGAGCTTTCAGTGTTCATTTGAACTGGATTCGACATCACGAACTTCAAACTTTATAAAAGTAATGTTAAAACCAGATTTAATGATGAATAACTTTTTGCCGTAATGTGCACATTTTTACACATTCGGTGCGCATTTAGCGAACATTTTGTGACCAGGAAGTGCGTGAGTGCACCATGAAACCTATTTTCCCCATTTCCTCAAACACACCACATTTACGAAACAACCAATCAAAACAGTTTCTCGCTACTAGGCTTGTAAACAGAGAGCTTCTGGCCGGGCCTGAAAGTTTGAAGACGGGGGAGCCAGGAAGCACTTTATAAAGAGAGTCAAACCATTACAAAGTCATACAAGGGGATAGAACTGACGTTTTACAYGGTGWWATGTGACTGAKGAAARCTTWGGAGCTTAATCCAACACCAGTTTGACGATGAAAAATGTCGGGTGACGAGTCTGACCTTTTTTTTTTCACACTGGACTCAACCCAGAAGAAATCCCTTGCATACTGCCTGCTTAAATGTTCGCTATGTCAGAACTTATTCGACAAATGTGTTTCCATCTCTGCTTTTGCACATTAACTCTGTTACAGGATGGGGGGAAATTGGTCTTGGCGCAGGTTTGCACTCTACGAGTGCTTCTAGTTTATTTTATCTTTGAACATATTCAAATTTATTTTGCAATACAAAGGGAAAGGAAAAACAAAGCGTTTTAGCCAAGATCCACTACCCATGTTTTCATCAACATTTTTATGTGCATTTAGAAAGGGCAAAATAAAATAAAAAATGTTCTCAATAGCCATGTTTCCATCCAATTTCAATTTGAATTTTGAGTGAATTTATTTTAATTTTGCCAAAAGGAAAAAATGAAGAAATTTAAATCAGACGTGTTTCCATCAACTGACTCGAAGTGAATCAGTTACGTCAGACGCATGTGTGTAGTAAACAGGAGTTAAAACTCACAAACTCGCAGAGTCCACACATCTCAGGACAATGGAGAGAAGTTATTAGGAATGTGTTGCTATCGGGAAAGTTGTTCTTATTCTGTCATACCAATTAGTTCTGGCGATGTCACATGCTGTCTGGAGACTTAGAGAAAGAAATGCAATTCTCTTCACGTTACAAGAATAACTGAGAAGCAGGAGGATGGTCCTGCTGCCAGTCGCGGCTGCAGTCGCTCTGGTACCGGGACCAGTATYGGACAGACAGTGGGAACAGCTGATCAGCTATGCGAGGTAAATGTTCGCTATGTCAGAACTTATTCTGCAAATGTGTTTCCATTTCTTCTTGTGCGCATTAACTCTTTTTTGAAAATCCCAAAATAACACCTCAAGTGAGCACATAGTTTTTTGCGAATTAGAGGAAGTTTTTTTTTTTTATCATGGCGTTTCCATTCACATTTTCTGATGCAATACTTTGGCTAATTTCGTAAAACGWTTTAAGCTTGAGGTGATTTTTGGATTTTCGAAAAAGTTTTATTGTGCAAAATGGGAAGTAGAAACACATTTGCTGAATAAGTTCTGATGTAGTGAATATTTACCTCACAGCTGTTCCTGCTGATGGTGTCTTTCCAGGAATAACACAAAGAGAATTCTATTTCTTTCTTGAGAGCATGTGAAGTGACAGAACAATATCAACTTACCCAGAGCAACACATTCCTAAAATCTTCTCTCCATTGTTCCGAGATGTGTGGTCCCTGCTAGTTTGCAACAGCTACAGTACTTCCTGTTTACTACAGCCATGCATAACATCAACGTCTAACAAAATTACACTTTAAAGCACGTGTCAAACTCAAGGTGGGTAACTCCCGTGTGGCCCGCCAGGGGGCGTACACCCCTCCCCCACCCCCACCAATTTTTACCTCCGCCAAGGGCGAGGTAATGTTTTCGGTCACGTATGTCTGTCCGTCAGTCGGTTGTTCTTTCATTCTGTCGTTCTGTCTGTGGACAACGTTACTCAAAAACTTGTGGACGGATTGCCATGACATTTTTACCACATGTGGGTACTGGCCCAAGTAACACACCTTTAAATTTTGGTGATGTTCCGGATCACGWTGCGGATACAGGATTTTTTTTCTTTTAACACTCTGAGATCAGCAAAG